TTGGATGTTCTACTTGATGAAATATCTGTTCAGGTCCTTTGCCCATTTATAATTGGGTTGTTTGTCTTCCTGGTGTGAAGTCATGTGAATTTTTCATATATTTTGCAGATCAAACCCTTATCCAAGGTATCATTTGGAAATATATTTTCCCATATGGTTGGTTCCCTTTTCATTTTGTTGACCTTAAGAATCCTGACACACCAATTCAAAAGAACCTATGCACCTCAGTGTTCACAGCAGCACAATTTACAATAGCCAAGTGCTGGAAACAGCCTAAGTGCCCATCAGTAAATGAACGGATCAAAAAACTATGGTACATTTACACAATGGAATACTATATAGCAGAAAGAAAGAAGGAGCTCCTACACTTCATGACAGCATGGATGGAGCTGGCAAGCATTATGGTAAATGACATACACCAGGCAGTAAAAGACAAATATGATCTCACCTACAAGTAGAACCTAATCAACAAAACAAACAAGCAAGTAAAATATAACCAGAGGCACTAAAAATAAGAACAAAGTGACAGTAACCAGAGGGGAGGTGGGAGGAGATAATGGGGGGAAAAGGAGAAAGGGTTTTCAGGGACATCTATAAAGGACACATGGACAAAACCAAATGGGTGTAGGATCAAGGGTGGGAATTGGGAGTGGCTGGGGTGGGGGGAATGGAGGGGGGAATGGAAACAACTGTACTTGAACAATAATAAAAAATGTAAAAACAACCTAAAACATGAAAAAAAAGAATCAATTAGTGAGTAACACAGACTCTTCAGCTGTCTGAGTCATTATTCTTTTAGTTTAGGCATGGTAAGTGTACTGTAACCTTGGGGAGCTTTCAAAGTAAGTTATTACTAAATCCATAGAAAGCATTATAATTAGTGTTCCTATACCTCCAAGAAATATAAGAAGGAATAAAGAAATGTATATATGGACTTCCAAGACTTCCACCAAGATGGAGGTGTAGGTGGAAACACTGTGTCTTCTCCCACAACCAAGTATAAAAACAACAAAGTTTTAGCAAAAAAAAAAAGGCAGCCAAACCACAGAAAATTGAACTATACGGAAGTCTGACAACAACGAACCATTCAGCCAAACTGATAAACTGGTGAAGGAGTGAGCAGTGAGACGCACTGCAAAGGCCCCAGTGGCAGGAAGCGGCAGAGTAAATCACCATTGTCTCTCTCTGACCCTGCCCCCACATACAGCATCACAAACCAGACACCTGGGTGGCCCCGCGAACAACTAAGGCTCCACTTCCATGTATAACAGGCACAAACAGATAAAACCATGGCTCAAGAACAACTCAGAGCCCCAAGCCCATAAATCTAAGTGACAAAAAAATAGCCAAACATTCAGATGCACAGTTCAAAACACTGGTGATCAGGATGCTCACAGAACTGGTTGATTTTAGTCATAAATTAGAGGAACATATGAAGGCTAAACTAATTGAAATGAAGGGAAATGCACAGGAAACCAAGAGTAATGGAAAAGAAACTGGGACTTAAAACAAAGGAGTGGACCAGAAAGAAGAAAAAAATGACCAAACAGAAAAATATGAAGAAACAAGAATTCAAAAAAATAAGGAGAGGCTTTAGAACCTTCAGGACATCTTTAAACGTTCCAACATCCGAATTATAGGAGTACCAGAAGGAGAAGAGGAACAGCCACAAGTGGAAAACTTATTTGAACAAATAATAAAGGAGGACTTCCCCAATCTGGCAAAGGAAATAGACTTCCAGGAAATCCAGGAAATTCAGAGAGTCCCAAATAAGTTGGACCCAAGAAGGAACACACCAAGGCACATCATCATTACATTAGCCAAGATTCAAATGAAGGAGAGAATCCTAGAAGCAGCAAGAGATAAGGAGACAGTCACCTACAAAGGAGTTCCCATCAGACTGTCAGCAGATTTCTCAAAAGAGGCCTTACAGGCAAGAAGGGGCTGGAAAGAAGTATTCCAAGTCATGAAATCCAAAGACCTACAACCAAGATTGCTCTGTCCAGCAAAGCTTTCATTTAGAATGGAAGGACAGATAAAGTGCCTCTTAGATAAGGTCAAGTTCAAGGATTTCATCATCACCAAGCCTTTATTATATGAAATGTTAAAGGGACTTACCTAAGAAAAAGAAGATAAAAAAGATGAACAGTGGAAGGACAGCAAACTCACAGTTATTAAGAACCACACCTACCTCCCTGGCTGGTGTAGCTCAGTGGATTAAGAGCAGGCCTCCGAACCAGAGGATCACGGTTCAATTCCCAGTCAGGGTACATGCCTGGGTTGCAAGCCAGTTCCCTGCAGGCCAGTTCCCAGCAAGGGACACACTAGAGGCAACCATACATTGATGTTTCTCTCCCTCCTTCCCCTCTAGAGATAAATAAATGAATATTTTTTTTTAAAGTTAAAAAAAAAAAAAGAACCACACCTAAAATAAAAGCAAACTTAGAGGGCAGCTAGATCATGAGCAGAACCATAGAAATGAAGATCACATGGAAGGTTAGCAACAGGGGAGTGGGAGGAGAAGGGAGGAGAAGGTACAGAAAATAAGTAGCATAGACAGTAGGTAGAAAATAGACAGGGGGAGGGCAAGAATAGTATGGGAAATACAGAATCTAAAGAACTTGAGACACATGGACATAAACTAAAGGGGGGAATGGTAAGGGAGGGGATGTGCAGAGGGGAGGGGAATGAAGGGGGGAATAGAACAAATATAATGGCATAATGAAATATATTTTATTATTTTTTTAAATTTGGATTTTCTTTATTAATCTTTTTTAAAATTTTATTTAGTTATTTTTCAAGTACAGTTTTTGTCTATTTCTCCCAACCCAGCCCCCCCCCCACCTGGTGCTCCCCACCTCCCTCCCATTTTTACCCCCCTTAGTTCTCGTTCCTGTGTCTTTTATACTTGTTCCTCCAAATCCCTCCCGTTTCTCCCTCTTAAATTCCCTTCCCTCTCCCCTCTGGTCACTGCCCCCTTGTTCTCTATTTCAGTGTCTTCGTTTTTATTCTGCTTCCTTGATTGTTTTCTTGTTCAGCTTCCTGTTAAAGGTGAGATCATATGGTATTTGTCTTTCAACACCGGGCCTATTTCACTCAGCATAATGCTTTCCAGTTCCATCCATGTTGTTGCAAAGGGTAGGAGCTCCTTCTTTCTCTCTGCTGCATAGAATTCCATTGTGTATATGTACCACAATTTTTTGATCCATTCATTTACTGACAGGCACCTAGGTTGCTTCCAGCTCTTGGCTACTGTAAATTGTGCTTCTATGAACATTGGGGTGCATAGGTTCTTTGAAATTGATGTTTTGGGGTTCTTAGGATATAATCCTAGCAGTGGAATTGCTGGATCAAAAGGCACGTCAATTTTTATTTTTCTGAGAAAATTCCATACTGTTTTCCATAGTGGTTGTACCAGTCTGCAATCCTACCAGAAGTGAACTAAGGCCCACTTTTCCCCACACCCTCTCCAACATTTGTTGTTTGTTGCTTTGTTTATGATAGCCACCCTGATTGGTGTAAAGTGGTATCTCATTGTGGTTTTAATCTGCATCTCTCTGATAGCTAACGATATTGAGCATCTCTTCATGTGTCTCTGGAATTTTGCCATTTTAATGATGATGTGTCTTGAAGTGGGCTTCCTTGGATTCCTCTTGATTGGGACTCTGTGTGATTCCTGGATTTGTGTGACTTTTTCTCTCATCTAATTAGGGAAATTTTCTCTCATTATTCTTTTGAATACGTTTTCTGTCCCTTCTTTCTTCTTCTTTCTTCTTCTTTCTTCTTCTTCTTCTTCTTCTTCTTCTTCTTCTTCTTCTTCTTCTTCTTCTTCTTCTTCTTCTTCTTCTTCTTCCTTCTTCCTCCTCCTCCTCCTCCTCCTCCTTCTTCTTCTTCTTCTCCTTCTCCTTCTCCTCCTCCTCCCCCTCCCCCTCCCCCTCCTCCTTCTGGTATTCCTATTATTTGGATATTGTTATGTTTCATATTGTCTTGCATTTCTTTTAATCCCTCCTCATTCTTTCTGAGCCTCTTTTCCCTTTCCTGTTCTTTCTGTGAGATGCTTTCTACTTTGTCCTCCAATTTACTAATCTGATCTTATGTCTCATCTACCCTATTTTTAATGCTTTCTAATGTGTTTTTCAATTCAGAAATTGTATTCTTCATTTCCTCTTGGCCCTGGCTAATAGTTTCCATTTCCTTTTTCATGTTGATATAGTTCATGGTGAGATCATTATAGCTCCCCTGTAGTTTCTGGTAGCTCATTGTGAGCTCTTTGAACTTCCTGATAACCAGTGCTTTGAATTCACTATCTGATAGTTGACTTGCCTCTATTTCATCTAACATTCTTTCTGAGGGTTTCTCCTTTCCTTTCATTTGGTGATTGTTTCTTTGCCTTCCCATTGTTTGTGAGACTCTTCTTGTTAGCCTCAGCTTCTTAGATTAATATGTTTTGACACCCTGGGTTTATGGTGTAAACTTCTGTGGTGGAATGCCTGTGAATTTCAGTGGTGCAGTCTCTTTTGGTTATCCTGTCATTCTCTGCTTCCACCTACTCAAATATGCAGCAACTTTTGGCTTCTCTCCTACAGCAATGTGCAATTTGTCTCTCTGACTCTACTATTGGGAGGCCTCTTCTGTGGGTCCAGCTCTGGGCTTTTCGTATTTTCAAGTTGATTGTGACTTTTGTGGGTAAAAGAAAGAAAAGGCAAGGAAAGAAATAAAAGGAATGAAAAAAGGGGTAGGGAAATGGAAGAAAGCGCAATAAGTTTAGAAAGAAAAGAAGAAGGAATAAAACAGAAAATCCGAGAAAAGAGGACAAAAGTATCGAAAGATGAAACAGTAATAAAATTTAAAAGAAATAACAGATTACTTTAAAAAAGCAAAAAGATAAAGAAAAGGAATGGAAAAAGAAAGAAAAGTAAAATAAATAAATAAATAAAAGTTAAAAAAAAAAAACAACCCCCCCCCCAACAACAACATAAAAGGAAACATCACTTGTTGGTTTCAAAGTAGCCAAATCGGTTTTTCTGGCTGCAGTTGGGTGACGGTGGATTGCTGTGATTTTTTCTGCCAGCCCCTCTCAGGAGCCAGACACTTGGTGCCTCTCCCCAGCTCCCTACAATGGGGAACTAGGACTTCCTCACAGCGCTCCTCTCCCAGGGGTACCGCCATGGACTGGTTTACGGTGTTTGGGGGCACCTGCACCAGCCTAGTTGCCTGGTTCCCTTGGGATTGAGCACAGACCTGCCCCCATTCTGTGGGGAAGCTCTAGGCCCTCTGCCTAATCTTGGGTTCGCTGCCAAGCTGGGTGTGGAGCAGACCAGGCTGTTGTGTCTATTGCATTCAGAGCCCCACACTGTACCTGTCAGTTCTCCTGGGCTGGCAACCACAGAGTCCTCAGTTGGGGCCCTTTGTCCTCAGTATCCTTTCTGCAAACTCTATCAAACAAGTCTCTCCTGGCACCCCACCTTGCTTGGCCAGAAAGGGAGGGGGTTGAGGGTCTCAGCTCTTTCCCCAGGACCCCTCAGCGCCCAGGCCCAGGGCTTCCAGATAGCCCCAGGGGGATGTACTGGAAGCCGGGAGCTGATCTGAGGACTGAGCGCCGACCTAGAAACTCTGTGCACAGGTCATGGCATGCTGCGTGGTGTGTACTGATGCCCTGAACTGTGCGCAGGCTGAAATCCCTTCTGCTCCTTTGTTTGTCTGGGTCCCATGGCCAACCTCGGCCAAAAAATCCTAGGGATGGAGCAGCTCCGCGCCAGGCGCTGGACCCCTGAACTGTGCGCAGGCTGAAATCCCCTCTGCTCCCCTCTGGTTGGGCCACTTGGCAGGTCCCGGGCAAAAAATCCTAGGGAGGGAGCTTTCCGGGTGCTGAACATTGGCCCAGGTGTCGTCAGGCACTCGCCCAGACACACTGAGTGCCAGGCACTGGACTCCCGAACTGTGAGCAGGCTGAAATCCCTTCCACTCCTCTTTGCCTGGGCCGCTTGGCCAGCCCGGCCGAGAAATCCCAGGGAGGGAGCCGTTGGGGTGCTGAACGTTGGCCCAGGCACCGTCAGGCACTCACCGCCAGGCACTGGTCCCCCAATCATGCACCAGTGGAGATCCTTGCTGTTTCTCTTTGCTCTGTCCCCAAGACTATTGTACCACTGCTGTCTCCCTACCGTCTGGTTCCTCCGTGACCGTGGAGGTTTCTGGTCCCTTATTTTCATATATGCTTGGCAACTGCTGGCTTCTCCTCCTCCGATCGGCCAGGTTTCTCCACCTTTTGTACTAGGAACTGGTATCTACTCTGTCCTACTCCATCGCCATCTTGAAAGCCCCCCCGTAAAATACATTAAAAAATGTATATATGAATTTAGCTTGATATTAATATATTCTTGATTTGATGTAATATGTTTAATATTTTATTATATTTGTTTCTGTTCAAGGTTTGAAGTATTCAAATATACTAAATCTGTACTTTAAAATTGTTTAAAGGGAATTTGTCTTAATACTTAAGAAAAATAATTTTCAGGTATTTGTTAGTATAAGTATAAACTATTAAAGAAATTGTGAAAGTACTAGCCATTGTTGCACTCCATGCACGTATGTAAGTCTTCACTCTAACTCGTTTGTTCTGATCTGCTTTTATTTATAATCTCCAGACAATGCCCTTGATTCTAATTGGTTTAAACTGTTTCCATATCATCAAGCTATGTTTCCATATCATCAAGGTTTACTTCCCTACATCCACCCATAAAGTAGAAATACATTACCTTACACCCTCATGTTCCTCATTAGTCTGTAGAATGATAATATTTATTCTCTAAATATTTTAGATTCAAACTTCTTTATGTTTACTGTTATTTGAAAATAGCTTATTTTATCTGCCAGCAATGTCTTTTATCTGACATCTTGAGTTCCAAAGTAGTTATCCACAAACTTCCTAAATGAAGTTTACAACTCACCCATAAGACGTCACTTACAATTCTATCTTATTATACTCTATCATGAACTATGTTGAAACCCATACCAAAAGCAGAAAATTAAATAATCCCTTTAAAATGAAGAGCCAAAAAAATAATAATAATAAAATAAAATGAAGAGCCATTCACTAAACTGATGAATCCATTATTCTCTTAGCTTGTGATTCTTTCTTTGAAGGCCTAAGGTCAGTCACTGCCATAAATTATTTTAATTTCCTATGAGAAAGCCTGTTATGGAGTTTTACTAGGAGAATTTAAAAAATCATCCATACTGTGAAAGAGAGTAATAAATACTAAATTAATTATCAACAAATAAAATGAAGCAATTCTGTCAGCTTTATGAAATTTTATATTCAACTTTCACATATTTGTTATATCACAAATTTTTTCCTTAGGATAAATAATTATGCCATATAAAAGATCAAGGCTTTCTGCCCTGGCTGGTGTGGCTCAGTTGACTGAGCACCGGTCTGTGAACCAAAGGTTTGCCAGTCCAATTCCCAGTCAGGGCACATGCCTGGGTTACGGGCCACGTCCCGAGTAGGGGGTGTATAAGAAGCACCCACACACTGATGTTTCTCTCCTTCTTTTTCTCCCTCCCTTCCCCTCTAAAAATAAATATCTAAAAAAATATCAAGGCTTTTTTACATGTGTAGCAAACATATAGTACATACATCAGGACTCTAATTCCAAGAGAAAAAAAATCCAAATTAACTAAAGCAAAAAAAAAAAAGCCCGTATTTTTTAACTGGATCACAAAAATGAAAAACTGAGGGATAGTGTAGAGTTCAGGCATGCTTGTATCCAAGAAATCAAAGAATTTCATCAGATTTTTATCTCTTACCTCCATTTTCATCTGTGTTGGATTTATCTTGGAAAAGTTTTTCTCATGTAATGGCAAAAAAAAAAACACCCAAAAACCTGCTTGTAAGTTTTTAACCTTACTAAATCCTTGAAACTTGCAATGAAAAAAAACTTCTCTTACTATCCATAATAATTCCCACCAGAGCTCTAGAAATGGTCCACACAGGGCCATTTGCCAATCCCTTATTAATCACTAGGTGCAGGGAAATAACTGGCCAGCCTATGACCAATTCGCTGTCCTCCCTGATTAACAGTTTCATCAGAATCACACAAATTAAGGGTGAGGTAAGTCTCAAAAAGGGCATAGAACAGATTACAAAGTAACAGGTGTCTACTACTTGGGCTATTTCAAATAAGGAATGCTCATGAACTGAAGGCTTTCCCATATGTACTATATTCATAGAATTGCTAAGCAAAGAATTCACTGAGATTTATTTAATGACTGAGTGGTGAATAAATGTTTTTTTCTTATTCTTGTAATAATCAGAGTGTTTTTCAATTATGAATTTTCTGATGTTGTTTAAGGGTAGAGGCACAGCTAAAATTATTCCCACATTCATTGCAATTATAGGATTTTTCTCCAATATGAATTCTCTGGTGTAGCCTAAGGGATAATATCTGATGGAAAGCCTTCCCACATTCATTGCATTCATAGGGTTTCTCCCCAGTATGAATTCTCTGATGTTGACTGAGGTATGAGCCACAACTGAAAGCTTTCCCACATCTGTTACATACATAGGGTTTCTCTCCTGCATGACTTCTCTTATGATGAATTAGAACTAAGGCATCATTGAAGGCTTTCCCACATTTACTGCATTCAAACAGTCTCTCTCCAGTATGGATTCTATGATGTCGATTAAGTTGTGAATCAGTCCGGAAAAACTTCCCACATTTGATGCACTCATAGGGCTTTTCTCCAGTATGAATTCTCTGATGTTGATTAAGGTGTGAGCGATAGCCAAAGGTCTTCCCACATTCATTACATTTAAAGGGTTTCTCTCCTGAATGAATTCTTTGATGCAGAGTAAGGGCTATGCGTCTGCTGAAGGCTTTTCCACATTGATCACATTGATAGGGTTTCTCTCCAGTATGAATTCTCTGATGTTGATTAAGGTGTGCACTCTGTCTGAAGGCTTTATTACATTCCTTACATTCATATGGTTTCTCTCCTGTGTGAATTCTCTGATGTTCAACAAGGAAGGCATAACGGCTAAAGGCCTTCCCACATTCATTGCATGCAAAGGGCTTTTCTCCAGTGTGGATTCTCTGATGTTGAGCAAGGTGTGCATTCTGTCTAAAGGCTTTGTTGCATTCCTTACATTCATATGGTTTCTCTCCAATATGAGTTCTCTGATGTTCACTGAGGAAGAAGTCATGTCTAAAGGTTTTTCCACAGTCATTCCATGCATATGCTTTCTCTCCACTGTGGATTCTTTGAGGTTGAGTAAATAATGAGTAACAACTAATGGCATCACCACATTGATCAGGTAATTTTCCAAAATGAGCTGTTTGATGCTGAGCAAGTAATGACTGGAAACTTACGAGATTTGAAAAATCACTACTTTTATAAGGTTTCTCTCCAGAAGGAATTCCTACATCTTTACTAAAGTATGTACTCTGTTTGAATTCTTTACATTCATTACCTATCAAAGATTCCTTCTGAGCATGTTGTCTTTTATGTTCAATTAGGACTGAATTTGGGGGGAACATTTTATCATAAATATCAAATTTATGTACCCACTGTAATGTAGAAACTGTCTGTTGTGTTAAAAGTACTGACTTCAAGAGAACATTTCTATCAGAATCATTATATTCATTGTCTGTTTTCACAGCATATATTTCCTTAAGACTTGCCACTTGCCTGAAATGCCTCTCCTGATTTCCATGACACTGCTCAAATTCATCCTCATATTTCCAAGTTTCTCTGAAACTGGAGCATTCAAAGTCATGATTTGTAACTCTTCCCATTACTATGCTCTGGGATATTTCCTCTTCATCAATGTACCATATTGGAGATAATTCCTTGATTTCATACCAAGACTCCCAGTCTGAAAAATATCAAGAAATCAAATGTATCACTTTTTTTCCTTTGCAAGGAGAAAGAAAACTACCATAAAAGAAACTGAAGAATTTAATCGAAGGAATGAGGATAGAAAGTACATCATTCTTACATCTCTGAAATTATATTATACAACATGAACAAAATACAAAGTACAAAAAGAGCTGCTAGAGGACTGGGGTAACAAGTTAAATGTAGGGCATCAAGATGTAGACAAAGCTAAATGCCAAAAAGATAAAGAATTAGAGATAATTGATTTGATCACAAGGATAGTTTTCCTGTGTCTAGTCGTCTAGTCCGTAAAGTTTCCAGTCCATCCTGCCCTATCCAGTACTATTCATAGGGTGAAAAGCTCCATGAGGGCAGGAATTATTTACTTCTTTTTTTTCCTACTGCTGCATCCGGTGCCTAAGACAATGCATTTTGTAGAATCTATGAATAATGACAGAATGCTCAACAACTTTAAAATTTTATGGGACCCAAGGGGAAAAATTTTTTTCTCAGTGTCTAGTAGGAATCTGGAGGTCAGCATTTCTCACCATTGAGAAAAATATGACATCTCAGTACATACTTGATACTTTCAGGAGGGGATGTTGGTTAAGATAAAATAGAAAGAAAACTATTGCTCATGAGATAATCTCAAAGAGAGAAAAGCAAGAAAGTTCTTTTACTGTCACATTACAATAATCAGATAATATATTCAACTATATGGAACCTACTACTAGAGTACCTTGTAGAGGAGAAAAAAGTCTTGAGACATAGGTCCTTTTCCCCTTTTAAAACGCTAATGAGAGACTTTCTGGCCCAGATGAAGGTGTAGATGGAAATACTGTACCTCCTCGCACAACCAAATTTAAGAAGAGAACTTTAGAAACAAAAACACAACCAAAACAGACAGAAAATTGAACTGTACTGAAGTCCGACAACAACAAACCATTCATCCAGACTGGTAAGAGGGGCAGAGTTGGCTGGCAGAGAGGGGTCCCGGCAGGAAGAGGCGGTGGTTGGCAGATAAGGGCACAGGGAGAAAACGGGCAAACCCAGTGAGCCTCCCAAGGCAGCTGGCTGAATGCAGACACACATTTGCTCGAAGAAAAACAAGGAAGGTTTAAAAACAGACAGTGAGACAGACCACGCAACCCAGGGCCCCAGTGATGAGAAATAAAGCCTAAAAGCACCAACTGGAAAAACTTTCAGGGGTTGAGGTGCCAGGAGAGGCACCCAGCCTCACAGGAGACTTTGTTGGAGAGACCCACAGGGTCCTAGAATGTACACAAGCCCACACACCCAGGAACCAGCATCAGAAGGGCCCCATTTGCTTGTGGGAAGCAGCAGAAGGGACCAAAATCTGAGAGAGAGCCCAACAAATGCCATTGCTCCCTCTCTGACCTTGCCCTCAGTCAAAACCCAGTGACTGGGTAGACCCGCCCTGGTGAACACATAAACCTCCACCCCTCATATGTAACAGGTGCAAAAAGACCAAAACATTATGGCTCAAGCAGAAAAACAGCTCAAAGCCCCAGAGCCATACTTCTAAGCAACAAAGAGATAGCCACCCTATCAGATTCACAGTTCAAAACACTGGTGATCAGGATGCTCACAGAACTAGTTGATTTTAGTCACAAATTAGATGAAAAAATGAAGGCTACACTAAATGAAATGAAGGAAAATGCTCAGGGAACCAGTAGTGATGGAAAGGAAACTGGGACTCAAATCAATGGAGTGCACCAGAAGAAAAAAAGAAACAACCAAACAGAAAAGAATGAAGAAGCAAGAATTCAAAAAAATGAGGAGAAGCTTAGGAACCTCCAGGACATCTTAAAATGTTCCAACATCTCAATTATAGGGGTACCAGAAGGAAAAAAGTAACAGCCACAAGTGGAAAACTTATTTCAACAAATAATAAAGGAGAATTTCCCCAAACTGACAATGGAAATGGACTTCGAGGAAATCCAGGAAGCTCAGAGTCCCAAAGAAGGTGGACCCAAGAAGGAACACACCAAAGCTCATCATAATTACATTAGCCAAGATTAAAATGAAGGAGAGAATTCTAGAAGCAGCAAGAGATAGGGGACAGTCACCTACAAAGGAGTTCCCATCAGACTGTCAGCTGGTTCCTCAAAAGAGACCTTGTAGACAAGAAGGGGCTGGAAAGAAGTATTCCCAGTCATGAAATCTAAAGACCTACATCCAAGATTGCTCTATTCAGCAAAGCTTTCATTTAGAATGGAAAGACAGATAAAGTGCTCCTCAGATAAGATCAAGTTCAAAGAGTTCATCATCACCAAGCCCTTATTATATAAGGGACTTATATTGGGACTTATAAAGTTAAAGGGACTTATCTGAGAAAAAGAAGATTAAAAATATGAACAGTGGAAGGACAGCAAACTCACAGTTATTAACCACCACACCTAAAACAAAAGCAGGCTAAGAGGACAGCTAGATTAGGAGCGGAACCATAGAAATGAAGTTCACATGGAGGGTTAGCAACAGGGGAGTGGGAGAAGGAGAAGGGGGAAGAAGGTACAGAGAATAAGTAGCATAGACAGTAGGTAGAAAATAGATGGGGGGACAAGAATAGTATGGGAAATATAGAAGCTAAAGAACTTGTGACACGTGGACATGAATTAAACGAGGGGAATGTGCAGGGAGGGGGTGTGCAGGGTGGAGGGGAATGAAGGGGGGAAAATGGGACAACTGAAATGGCATAATCAGTAAAATAGATTTAAAAAAATAAAAAAGAATAAAAAACTCTTAATGAGAAAGAGAAAAATTCTATGCATAAAAATTCAATATGGTACATAAAGAATTTGATAATAAGATAATGATTAGAAGTAGAATGTCAGAAAAACAGAGATCAAAACTCTCGACTTTAATTAAGGAATAAGTCCTGAAGAATATGAGCTTGACTTTCACGGCTTTAATAAGGGTTCCAAAATACAAGTATTATTTCAGTGATGGAGTCATTTTCACACTTTGACGTGCTTAGTGATTATTCTAGAACTGCATATATTAGCTTTGGGGGTTAACTATTTTTTTCCATAACTCTTTCCAATCTATTGAAAATAAATCTGCAAATATATTAAGTCAGTATAAAACTGAAAAATAAACAACATATTATTCATATGTATTGTTCTTCTTTCTAATATATTCTCTACTTTGAAGAAAGCCCACACCTCCACAGTTCCTCCTGTGTACAGCCATGGATATTTTCCTACTTGGACCCCTATCTTAAGCCAAGCCTGAAAGGGCTTTGTTCACTTATTCTCTGTTAGATCCGCACTGTTGATCTTTCTATAGAAGAGCAACTACTTCTGTTTCCTCACTCACTCTCCTAAATCTCTTCTCCTATATCTATCACTCAGGACCACTATATTCCCTCTTACCAAGAATAAATCTTCCCCACTCCAGGAAAACTGTAGCTTTATACAGTATATAACTCCATGGTAAGTAAAAGAAGCCTGATGGGAGGAAATTATAGACATTTCTGATCTGGGGGATTCTGAGGTGCCTGGAGCTCCAAACACTCTCTTAAAAAAGAAGAGAGTTCTTCCTGCTAATAAACACTTAGCAGGAAGAACTCCATATGAGGTATTTCCAAGGGAATATATAAATAGGAAATACATATTGTCCATGTGGAAAACATATTCACTATGATTGAAATAGAAAAATACTTAGAAGTCAATGGTTTCATGATGGCACTCAGCAAAAGAAAAAAGACAATTCATTGTTATCAGTAACTGACTGAAGGGAAAAGGGAAGTCACAGATTCAGGCAAAATGGAAGAGAGCTAAATGGGCATCTATGTGGCAGAGTGGAAACAACACACAATTTGGGGTCAGACAAAGGTGAGTTTGAATCCAAACTCTGCATCTACCTAGCTAGGTATTATGCCTTTACCAAACTGATTAATCTACCTCCTGAGCCTCAGCTTCTTAGTAGGTAAAATCATATGACATTATAAGTATGGTATAAAAATTAGGTGTAATACAGGGTTGGGAAAAAGTAGGTTTACAGTTGTTAACATGGAAAATAATATAATAATAAATAATAATATGAGAATAAACTCTGTGTTTCATGTACCCACAACTGTAAACCTACTTTTGCTCCACCCTGTACGTAACATATCTAGCAGTGTCTGGCTCATTATACATCTGGTGGTGTTTATCATAACATGAAACAAATTAATGTATATATACTCCATAAGTAATTCTTATACCTACACCACTAAGTAGGGTTAGATATTATTACATCTGATTTTTAGGCTCATGTGATATCTATTACATCATAGGATTTTGAAATAGGTTGATGGTCAAGTGGCAGGCCAAGTATAGGAGAGGTAAACTCTTTGAGGTAAAAATGTATCCAGGAAATGTGTTAGGTTTGTAATTTCCAACTGATATGGTCTGAAAATAAATAGAAATTATAAGTCAAAGTATGATCGAATTTGAAATACAATCAGAACAAGACATAGTAAGTAGGTTTATGTAGGATGTTGGAGGAGGAAAAGAACTATGGACCTGGTTTGAAACCCAGAAGAGTCTAGTGGGAAGTCTGAGAAAAAAGGATACGACCTATGGGGAAGTATTTTTTAAATTAAAGTATAGTTCATATAAAATATTATATCCGTTTCAGGTGTACAATATAGTGATTTGATACTTACATTCTTTATGATGAAATTACCAGATTAAGTCCAGTAATCATCAGTCACAAGAAAATGTTATTACAATAATATTGACAATTTTCCTTATACTGTATATACATGTGACTTTTTACTTTAAAAAAAAACAACTAAGACTGTACCACATGGGGAAATCTTAAGAAGGAGGCAGTTTTCTGCTAATGCCAAAAATATGTTCCAATGAATAACCTGACTAATGACACACATAGCTACAGATTGGATCTCCTTCTGTAAAAGACTGTATAGAATTATGCTGTTCAATAAGGCAGCCACTAAGCACATATGACAATTTAAATAATTAAATTAAA